CCCAGGTGTGCCCCTCTCTCATGGGCCGCTCTGGGACAGCCCTAGCAATTCCCAGTGATGGACTAGCCGGGCACCAAGAGGTACCGGGGACCTGCTCAGCCCCTGTGGGCTTCCAGGTGGGAGGCAGAGGGTGAGATGTAAGGCTTTGGGATTTCTGGTCACTTTAAAGGCCCGCTGTGGTGACTCATTTGTAAGTGATGGCCCTGGCGCTCGGGACTGGGATTCTAATGAGGAAGTCAGGCCGCTGTGCAGTGACCACAGTCCCTGCCACACACCCCGCCCCCCACCCCCATGAGAACCTCGGGTAGAGAAGGGCACCAGGTGCTCGGGAGTCTAGGCCAAGTGGAAGCCTCTCGGGGTACCCACCACACCTGCAGTGCCACCCACTTCTCTGTCATTGACTTGTCCCTTGTTGCCCAGTACCTCTTCCCTTGGGATGCCTGGTTACGTCTGAGAAGTTCTCATAGCTTTGCCCCCGAATACTCCCTCCTCCACCATCTCAAACAAACATATGACCTCTGTGACCGCTCGTTCAGCACCGTCCTCAGAGAACGGGAGGACCCACCCGGGGAGATCCGGGGCTGGAGAGACTAGCCTCTCAGGCCCCGGCTTCCTTCTCTCTCTCTGACTGCCTTCTGCCAGAACACCAGGCCGGCTTTGAGGGGCTTCAGGCAGAGGAGTGCGGCATCCTGAACGGCTGTGAGAACGGCCGCTGTGTGCGCGTGCGCGAGGGCTACACCTGCGACTGCTTCGAGGGCTTCCAGCTGGACACAGCCCACCTGGCCTGTGTGGGTGAGTCTCCTCTCGTGCGCATGTCCTACTGAACTGACTGCTGTCCCCCCTGCCCCCCGCCCTGGGGGGTCACCCAGCGTCAGGCTCGGGAGAGAGCTCTGCTGGACGGTCTGAGAAAGCCCTTCCTCTCCTTGGAAGTGCCTAAGGCAGAGGCGTGCAGGAACAGGAGAGTGTGGTCATGCCCTGGCACGGTCGGGGCTCACCACCACCTGCTCTGTGGCAGGGCAGGAGCCAAGGCCCACTTCCCGGGGGGCAGGGGTGGCAACCAGAGGCCTCTGGGCTCCTTACAGCTCTCTCCTCCTTCCCTTGCTCCTAGATGTGAATGAATGTGAGGACTTGAATGGGCCGGCTGCGCTCTGTGCCCATGGTCACTGTGAGAACACAGAGGGCTCCTATCGCTGCCACTGCTCCCCAGGCTATGTGGCCAAGGCCGATCCCCCCCACTGTGCTGCCGAGGAGGAGCAGTGACAGCTACCTGCAAGGGGCTCCCAGCCACTGCGGGAGCCTGGAGGATGCCAGCTGGGGAGATGCCATGCCGTCACTGGCAGGAGGCCCGGGCCCAGCCCCTGGTTAGCCTTGCCCACTTGACATCTCAGCTTAGGCTTTGGCGGTGGACTCCCGCCACTGCCTTTGTGCCGCCATGTCCTTGCGTGGTACAGACACCACCAAATGCTTCCATGCTTCAGCCTTTGGCCCGGAGGCCTGGTCTACCACCTGTCCCAGCCTCGCTATGGAAAGCTTACCCAAGGATGGCCTTCGGCTACCCGTGCTAGCTGTCCACATGGGTCCAGCCTTTTTGCCTCACCCTGCAGGCACCCCCTTTCCAAACACGGCCCACCTCTCATCCCAGTGATTCCACACCTTCCCTGGGATGGCCTTTCAGACTCTGGGGAGCAAGGATGGGCTGGAGGGAGTTTGGGAAGTGACCAGCACCAGGTACCTCCCAAGAACCATCACTGCCCTCCAGCCAGTCTAGCCGGGACCCTGCTTTTTGCCACATCTCCATTCTGTATCTAGTTCGGTGACCCCTGGGAGTGGCAGAGTGTATCCCCCGTCTCAGAGAAGTGAGACTGATACGAGCTTTCTGGGTGTAAAAGACACAAAGGAAAACAAGCCAGGAGCCCAGGGAGCGGCAAGAAGGCAGCTTGCAAAGTACTGGGTGCCAGCGAGGGAGCCAGAGCTTTCTATAAGGCGCAAGAAAATATCCAGTAGCTTTGGGTCAATGGACATCCAAAAGCGACTGGGCACGCAAGGGTGCCCTGCTGCAAGACAGGGTGCTGATCTCCAAAGACCCGTGTTAAGAATGCAGCCCTGACAGGACCCTTGAGTTCCCCTTTGGGAAGAACCAGCTCAGGGCCTGTGTTCTAGCTGGAAGAACGCAATGCAGTCAGGGGCAGCCAGACTCCCATTGTCATCTTTCCTTCTACTCAGAAGCCCCTACCTTCTTTACCTTCATGGGACGGACGGTGGCGTCCTGTCCCTCTGCGTTAACAGGGAGAGCCCCAGCTTCAAAGGAGGGTGGCTGGGAGCTGAGAGCCGTGGCGGTAAAGAAATGCACATTTGGGCTCATTTGTTCATGTGTTTATTTCAGAGGAGGCCAAATTTGTGTACCGTATCAGATACATCTAAACATTAGAGATGAGGCTGTGCTTACTCCCCTTACCGGCTCTGTCCAGTATCCTGTGGAGTGGGTTCCCTGGGGATAAAGCCCTTTCCTGCCCCAAGTCAAAGAAAGCTCTGGTGACTGGTAATGTAAATGAGAAGGCTCCGCATGGCCGGAGACATGGAGATGAACGACTGCTCCCGCACCAATCTATACCGTCCTACCTGCTGCCCTACCTGCTGCTCGGGTCATCAGCCAGCACATAATTTATTGAATGCTTGCTATGTGCCAGGCTCTGTGCTGGGTGCTGTATCTGTGTTTCATCTATGTGAACAACAATCCTATTTCCTATTTTTACTTCCAATTTACAGATGACACAGAACGGTTCAATCATTTGTTCTAAATCACGATGTTAGATGAGATGTTTTTAGCAGACAAAAATAGATGGTTCTTAATTAACACCCAAAATTATTCTGACCTTCCTTCTTAAGAGAAATGAATGTTAAAACCACGCGGAGTCATCATTGTGCTGAGTGCTTAGGTCCAGAGTCGGGGGACATCTAGTCCATGAAGGCCATGATCTACACCTGACTTTGGCGTGTAGTGACTGGGGTCTCAAAAGCTTGCGACACAACTATTGGTCTCTTCCCATCCGAACCACAGAAGCGTGAAGGACATCAAGGACTCGAGGGAATAATTAGTCCAGAGGACTAATGAATGAACCACCGCGTCCACTAACCTGAGACCAAAGCACCTAGATGGTGCCCAGCTACCTCTCTCCACCACTCTGATGGGGATCGCAAGAGAAGGTCCTGGACAGAGTGCGGGAGGGAGGGAGAACAAAATTTAAATCATAAAAAGACCAGACTTGTCTGTAAGTGGAAACCTCTAGTCTGAAGCCCTCAAACACCCTTCAAACCTGGAACCTAACCAACTTCCGGAGATCACCTGTCAGCCAAGCAACAGACATGCCTCTAAAAGGAATGGTCACACCCACGAGATACACGCTTCTCAGAACAATCCACCCCACAGGACCAAAAAGACAGTGTTTGCCCAAAAATAATGTTCAGAAGCCCAGAGGGGCCAGGAAGGATGGGCAAGTAGCAACACGGAACCCAGGGACGAAGGAGGCAGGGGGCTGTGGTACTGAAGGGCCGCACCTAGTGCCAGGGAACAGCAGGTAGCATGTAGCTCGTGACACAGGAAACACACTTGCTGTGTAAACTTCCACACGAACTTCAATGAAATGCCCACCCCCACCGAAAACCAAACCACAACCATACTGGTGTTTTTTCAATGGTCAGATTGGCAAAGGCCAAAAAGTGTGATGAGACCCCCGGTTGGCAAACATTTGGGGAAATAGGCACCCTCCCAGCTGATTCGTCTGATCTCTCAAGGGGACAATATGCAGGTGCCCTTTGATCTTGTAGGGGTTTAACCTTCAGCTATATTCTCAATCAGTGTCAGACACTAGGTAAGAGGTTATGCATTACGGTAGTGTTTGTAATAGCAAAGGATAAACAATGAATTGCTATAAAAGCTTTAAAAAAAAAAATCCAAAGCCGTAACGATTCCGACTCTATCCATTCCAACTCAGCGTAGAACTGTCCCAGAGGGTTTCCAAGGTTGTCACCCTTATGGAGGCAGACAGCCCCGTCTTCCCCCCGTGGAGTGGCTAGCTGGCGGGTTCCAACTGCGGACCTTTTGCTTATCACTTCACCTCCAGGTCACCAGGGCGCCTAGGAATTGTTGTGGAGCCCGAAAGAATCATCATAAAGCTGCTTGAAAAGCCTTGCTAGAAAAAGTCCCCCAAAGAAAGCCAGGGGGAAAGGAAGACATACGAGTAGAACAATATAACGACCATGCTGCTAATTGTCTAAAGAAAGCAATGAGGGGCGGGTATGCTACCTTCATCCTCGCCACTCCACCTTACACCCCATATTTCAAAGACCCTCCTGCCATTCCCCCGAGATCCTTTGCCCTTTCTCCCAGCCCGGGCCTTCTTGCTCCCCTTCAGAAATCTTGCTGGCATAGGCACACATCTTTCTGAAGCATTAAGAACTTGGCAGCACACGCTGCATGTTCTGTGCTTTTTGCCTCCCACTGAATACACACTAGCACATAGAGCGCCGTCTTCTCTCCTGCAGCGGTGTCACACCCCACTAAGTAATGTATGTACTCAGTCCCCCGGGGACGGGCATTTCCATCGTTGGCTATCTCTGCTATGTCGGCTGTGGTCATGGGCAGCCTTGCTCATAAGTTCTTCGACATTATACCCGCGGGATTCTTCCAGGAAATCCATACCAACAATGGTGGTTTGTGGGCAGGGGGATGAGGAAGCAGGGGGGACAAGATTGGGAGACTTTTCACTGTATCCCCTTTTGTAGCTTCTAAAATTTTGTACTTTATGTATTACTGACTTGTAAAAAATAAAATATTTTTAAATACAACTGCTGGCCACAGACTTCTTAAATGTGCCTTCTCCTTATATGATTTTCTTGTCTAGAGTTAAGGCCAAGTGAGATTTCTTTCAGAAAGCCCAGGGCAAACTTCCTTTCAGCCACTCTTAAGCCAAACTTCAATAGCCCTGTGGCATTTCTGAGGACAAGTGTTCGACTATTGGACAAAAGGTTGTTATTTTTGTGGAGAAGGATGGACACACAGAGATTTTAAAAGAGCAATAGTACACAGCAAAAGTCGTCTTCTCAT